ATGTGTGTATTCGCTTACACCCGGGGAAAGGATGCTACACCACGCCTACCTACTTCTTTACTTTAACATACACTTTTCCACTACATATGGTATAGACAAGTCCGCGACCTGGCCCACGCTCAACTTCGACACCTGCAGAGGCTGGTGACAATGACTCCCCTTTTCCTTTGGCCTAGGTGGAAACGTTCTATTGACAGAAACGTTAAGAGCGTTCGACATTTCGGCGGAAAGATTCCAGTCTATTTGAATCTATTTACATCTATCGAAACATCGAATCCCAATCTAAAAACAAATCGACTCTCCTCGGGATTCGAAGCCGAAATTGCTTCACATTCTCAGCTCTAGTTTACAGCCTTTCTGCACAAAAGTGCAACTGTAAAATGAACACATATAGCGTAGGACATGGATTAGGATTGGACGGCAGATAATACAGATTAGCTAGTTTCACCATTCGGCGATGTCTACAGGGCAAAAATTATGTCATAGAAAGTAGTGGAAAAAGTTCACGTAGAAATGTATTAGTTTCCGAGGATTAACTTCCGTTCACTACTTGAGGCGATGTAACAGACTGGGCTTTTACTCAGTTAACCTACTAGCTACGGATTACCTTTAAAGGAAGCAAAATTTTGGGAAGCTTTATCCACCTGTTTGCGTGGCTGAAAAGCCTAAAAATTCTCATAACTTATGCTGAAAACTGCACCCACATCACGGGTACAGTCCGTGCCCCATAAAACCACGGCGCAGTGATGACTAACGCGCCCGCACACACCACTGATGCCTGGGGAGTCCAGACGGCACACAAGTCGTGGCCACCACACCCGGACAGCGCGCGTCACGCACCAGCACGGCTCATGTCTGCGCCCTCATACCTGGATTGTCAGGGATCCGCCACATGTACAGGTTGAAGTCGTCGCTGCCCGAAAGCACAAACTGGTCCCGGCTGCCGGCGAAGCAGCAGCTCTTCATGGTGCATGAGTTGTAGTAGAACGGGTGGTCAAACTGTGAGTGAAGAAACAATGAATAAGCCAAGCGAACTGTACAGTCTCATCCTCTTAGAAGGTTGCCACGTGACAGGGCTTTTTGGCTGATAATCCGATGAGGTTTACACCTTCAATACACAGAGTATGCCCTAGCGCAAGCCGTCAGTGTCACTGGCCACATCTCAGTGAGTGATATCACACTAGTAATTTGAGCCCAGTCAAGTTTGTGATACAAACTTGACGCTCTGAGGGCACCACGCAATTAACGAGTGCTGTATGTATTTGAAATCGGCCAACAGGACGCCAACGGCCCTACAACAGCACGAATTCGGATATCATGTTCGCCATTAACCAGTGTGTTGACCTAGCACGAGACTCCTATGCATGTATATATATATATATATATATATATATATATATATATATATATATATATATATAAACCAAAAGATCGGAAACGGCTACGAACGGCTACCCAGAATGTGCTCGACCAAAGACGGGCATTGTGCATTGCATTTAACTAAACCCACATGTATCAGTGGCCGGGGTGTGGCTTAACAATGACATCTACCATGCACGCAAATGAACCGTTGAACTGTTGGCTGATGAACGCGTGCGTTTCACAAAAGAGAACCGTCGGATTAGTTTGCCCGTTATTCGCCCGGTTTGCCTTAGTTTGTACAGTTTACCTGCGAGTCTACGCCATTTTAAAACCGATGCCCCTCTATCGATAACACACGTATGCTAGTGATGTAACATGGTGTGGCCGGCCTAAAGGTATTATATATCTATGCTCCCACAACCAGGTTTTTTCTTAGCTTTAAAGGGAAAGTGACGCACTTCACATGGCGCAACCGGGGTTCCTCCACTACATGGGAGCGGAAGGCGCTGACCACTCGCTCATTACCCCCACCACACACACCTCCGCTCCGAAGGCCCGAGGACACACTGGGCTTGGTGGCTACCTAGTTACCCTGACGTGCCAGCAGGACAGCCAACGGACCCGACACCAGTGAAGTACAAGGCGAGGACGTCAATGGTCTGGTTATAATCATTCGGGCCTTCAGGCGCCATGACTTTGTCTTCACGTGGAGCCATCCTCATCGGTGCGACATCACCACGATCTGACAGAAGGCTCGGTTGACCCGAGGTCACACTGACCTGACAGATGGGTGAGGTGGGCGACATCAGATCGTACAGCACCGGGGGAAGCCTCCGCCGCAGCACGAACAGCCTCCTGCCGTCGCTGCTGTAGCGCGCCGACATGGCGCCGTAGCGGCAGGCGCCGTACCTCTGCAACACCCTGTCGACAACAGATGGCGTTAGCGGCCGACCGTGGCTTTACAACGCCGCTTATTCGCAGCGGTAACGAAGGCCATACTTCAGCAGGACGGACACGAACGAAACGTCCCTCATCTCGCCAGGAAGCAGTGCTCACATCAACAAGACCGAGGAGCTCCTCTCACTGGAATGCAGCTCTTACATCACCGGGACACAGCGCCTCCAAGTCAGCAAGAGGCCATGCCGGGGAGCGGTGCTCATCTCACCGGGGAGCGGTGCTCACCTCACCGAGGAGCGGTGCCCACCTCACCGGGGAGCGGTGCCCACCTCACCGAAGAGCAGTGCTCATCTCACCGAGGAGCGGTGCTCACCTCACCGAGGAGTGGTGCTCTCACCGGGGAGCGGTGCACACCTCACCGGGGAGTGGTGCCGACCTCGCCGAGGAGCAGTGCTCACCTCATCGGGGAGCGGTACCCACCTCACCGAGGAGCGGTGCTCTCACTGGGGAGCGGTGCACACCTCACCGGGGAGCGGTGCTCACCTCACGAGGAACGGTGCGTATCTCACCGAGGAGCAGTGCTTATCTCACCGAGGAGCAATGTCGACCTCACCGAGGAGCGGTGCCGACTTCGCCGAGGAGCGGTGCCGACCTCGCCGAGGAGCGGTGCATATCTCACCGAGGAACGGTGCTCACCTCACTGAGGAGCGGTGCCCACCTCACCGAGGAGCGGTGCTTATCTCACCGAGGAGCGGTGCCGACCTCACCGAGGAGCGGTGCCGACCTCGCCGAGGAGCAGTGCTCACCACACCGAGGAACGGTGCGTATCTCACCGAGGAGCAGTGCTCACCTCACCGAGGGGCGGTGCTTATCCCACCGAGGAGCGGTGCCGACCTCGCCGAGGAGCGGTGCTCACCTCACCAAGGAGCGGTGCTCACCTCACTGAGGAGCAGTGCTCACCTCACCAAGGAGCGGTGCTCACCTCAGCGAGGAGCAGACGCGGTTCTCACATCCTCAGGACCCGACACTCACCTGCCGGGCATGCGGACGTCGTACACAGCCGCGCCAGTTTTGGAGTTGGCCGTGGCCACGAGCTGGGGCTCGGACGGGCTGAACATGGCCGAGTAGTAGGCGGCCAGTGATGAGCCCTGCTCAGCCAGTGAGTGTGGCTCTATCGGGCAGCCAAGGTTTGGAGTTAAGAGACGGTAGAGGGCACACACTACATCGGTTCTCGAAAATTCGTGGACTGAGGTGAAGGCTGGGGTTTTCACTGATCCACCCCGTCAGTCTGGGATTTACACCTTACACCCGCCGTCAGTTGTGTTACGGAATGATGGTGGCAGCAAAGCGAGCCCACACATTAGAAGCATAACTCCAAAGTGAAGAGTCAAGCACCGGAAAGCGGCTCACGTAGCAACATGATTGCCAGGTCCACGCCACAGAGCCGCTTCAGCCTCCATCTCCAACAAGCTCAAACCAGCCTCCAGCTCAGTCCCAGTCACTCACCAGCCAGACTCATACGCAGGTCAAACAGGAGCACGCGGCCGTTTTCACAGGAGGCCACGAAGACGTTCTCCCGGCACGGATCCACGCTGAGGCCGTACACAGCCTGCTGCTCGGTGAACACATCCACCGCGGCTCCGCTGTAACGGGACACTCTGTCGGAGCATGTCCGCGGCAGTCCGATGTAACAGGACTTTCTGTCAGCGCATGTCCGCTCACTCCGGCAGACCGCCTCCATTGTTTGCTGAAGGGTCGCTGCCATTGAAGCGCTCGCTCAGGACATGCTCATCGCAATCTCGCTGTAAGATGCGGCCACCTCTACTCCAATATCACTCCGCACAGCAGCGCAGCAAATGAAAGCCCCGACGACTAGACGCTGCCAAACGCTGGCGACGGCTCCACACGACGAGCGGACCAACAACCTCGAGCAGCCAACAGCCTGCGAAGTTCTGGCACCTCATGGTCCCCAGCGACTTCACCACAAGCTCGCCTCCTTCGCACACGCCTTCGCACGCACCCGCGCAGATCCCTCCCCGCGAGCCACTGCCCTCCCGCCAGGCGCGGCGGTCGCGCTCAACAACGCCGCCGTCCACTCCCGCGACTGCCCCCCACCGGGCGCGGCGGTCGCGCCGCCGCCGCCGCCGTCCACTCCCGCAACTGTCCCCCACCGGGCGCGGCGGTCGCGCCGCCGCCGCCGCCGCCATCCGCTCACGTGGCCAGGTCGTGCACGATGACCTGTTTGTCGTTGCCGGCCGAGAAGACGCGCCTCTCGGCGGCGTCGAACGCCAGGCAAAAGATGTTGGACAGGTGCTGCGAGACCATCGGCACGACCGGGTGCCGGCCGCCCGACAGCGTGCGCGCCACGTCCCACACCAAGACGCGCCGGTCGTCGCCGCCTGCGGACGGACGGCAGCCGAGTCACCGGGAGCCGGGGAGCGCGGGTCTCTGAGGCTGCGGCGCTGGGGGGGAGGGCGGGCGAAGGCTGTGGTCTTCGCTGCGAGACGCTGCTTAATAAGGCGATGAAGCGTGGAAGAGCGTTCAATCTTGTAGGCATTGCGCGATGGATGTGACTGGTATCATCCGGATTCAGGCGATGCTTCTAGCAAAGTTAGGACAACGCATAGCTTTTCTTAGCAAGAGGCCCGAAATAGAGATGCACGAGTGTACGTGTAAGAGTATCGACACGACCAGGTGCCGGCCACCCAACAGCATAATATATATATATATATATATATATATATATATATATATAGATATATACATATCTATATATATAGATATATATATATCTATATATATATATATAGATATATATATGTCTGTGTCTGTGTCTGTGTCTGCGTGCGTGCGTGCGTGCGTGCGTGCGTGCGTGCGTACGTGCGTGCGTGCGTGCGTGCGTGTGTGTGTGTGTGTAGGGAAGCTGACAACCATTTCTGCCCATGGCATCACGACAGTGAGCGAAACTCTGCCACAGAAAGCACTGGACTGAAAACTAGTCCACATCTAGCTGCAGCGACCAAGACAAGCATTCCACTGCTGAGCTGCAGAGTCATTCCAGGCAGTGGGCAGTCGCAGGAGACGCGCCGCCAGTGCGCAGCGCTGGGACCGCTCACCGGAGGCCATCAGCGCGCCGGAGGCGGAGAACTCGATGGCGTTGATGCAGCCATAGTGGGCGACCAGGTCGCGGTGGTAGAGGCCTGAGGCGGCCTCCAGCCTGGCGTCCAGCAGCTCTGACACGTGCAGTCCGCGGCCGGCCAGCGAGCGCCGCTCCAGCGCACACACCGGGTTCCCGCCCAGCATGGCGGACACTGCCGAACAACAACAGCTGCACATAACTTGGCAATTCGAAGGGTTCATTGTGCATGAGTTGTACGGATCGCGCCGGCACTTGCAGGCCCGTTGTGATGCTCGAAGGACGTAAATGCATTGAGCATATTCGGAATGAATACGCATGCATCCCTTCTGAATTGTGGGGTGCTTTTTGGATTCCTTGACTCTTTCGTGCTCGCGACAAACATCAATCATTGGTCTTGCAATATACCCTGGACGACATAGGTCTGGAGTGATTTTTACTTCTAGCTGTATGAAATTGCCCACATGGGTACAATCAAACTTATAAACTTGACCCTTATGAAAGCTGAGCAGCAAACATTTTAAAACTTGTAGTCAAATGTATATATCAAATTGAGTGTAAGTTTTTCTTGTGGGGCTGATTCCTCCCAAGATTTTGGGGTCTTGTACTAGATCATGGTGGTACATGGGAATAATGTTTGAAATATCAAAAACAAATAAGTTGGGGGGGGAGTGTGTAGAAAAAAGGGCCATGACTACCCCAAAATATGCTAAATAAGGGTCTCCCCCCAAATTTGGTCCAGTTTCTTCTCAAGGGGAAGGCTGGAACCACCATTAACTCCTGTCTCCTCCCCCCCCCCCCCAGTAGTTGGGGGCTGGAGCCCCCCACTAAGCACACTAAAAACTAAATCCCTGGCCCACCCCAAATTTTTGGTAAACTGACCCTTCTTGATGTCATCACAAACACTGCACAAATTAAAATCATGCTGCAGAAAATATGGCACAAGGAGGAATGAAAGGTCCCCAAACACACCACCTGATAATTCTTTCTTTCCACCTCTATGTTACTACACATGTAAAATAATAATGCTTATTAGTTTATTACTTCAGACAGTCTTCAACAGCAGCATAAATAGTATTCACTCCCCATTCATGGATTAGAGATTAAGCATAACACAAGGACCCACTTTACCCAGCAATGATATTCTGGCATGCATAGGCTGCTGACTTAACACCCTCATTAAACCATGGCTTCAATGATACTTAACTATCTTTCAGCTAATTTGCACAAAAATTTTCTGATGGTAAACATGATTATCATGAAAATGGTGTTCAATCATGTCAATAGTCCCTTACAAGGTTTTTTGAAGCCAAAGTTTGTCAACTATGACAGGCATCATGAACAAACTGCATCAAGCAGAAGCAGAGCCATCAAGACATGCTCTTATTCTGCAAGTTCTAATCTCAGCAAAAAAGGGATCACAAGATCTATTACAACCTTACCATCAAAACACCTGCCTGACACAGGTTTCAGCACAACACACTAACTGGGTTTTCTCCAAACTGTTGTTACCAGAATCATCTCCACCAGAATCAAATGTAAAACTGAGACTCACACCTTTGAGTTGGAAGCTAAAAATAGCTTGAAATTGGGCTGTGCCACCCAGGGTCAGGGTAAGAATAAACCCTACATACTTTAAGTTAGTCAGACCCCATTGTGCTAGATCAGTATTGGGCAGAAGCAAGAACAGGGAGGCATGCTCATGAGAGACAGCTAACCCATGTTCAAAAAATTGAATGCCAGCCTTATGGCATAAGATGGAGAGAAAATGGACAAGAATAATGGTTTTCACCTACCTCCTCCCAGAATCCACCATTACTGAATGCAGTCCTTCAGTCTGCAGTTTTTAACCTAACATTGATGCCAAGACTGAACCAAGCAATGCCCTGTGTTTTGACTAGAAACTGCGGCCCCAACTTTGTTATCACACCTATATTGTCACATACATATCACACCATATATTGCATTATTTGCTGTGGCCATCTTTACTGACTGACGCCATCTAGCACTTAATTTTATAGGTAGTACAGCCCATTCACTAGGTTTAAGTTTTGTGGCATAATTTGAGGAAGCTTCTCAGGAAAGGCAGGTAACTAAGAGCTAGGGCTAATGTAGCTACTAGCAATAGATGTCTGGTCCAGTGTTTAGGAGCTTGTGCAGATGAGCATGCTTGCAAAGAATGAGGCTTGAGGTTAAGCTAAGCTTACAACATGGTAAAACAAATGTAACATATATGGACGCCAAGAAGACAGCACTTCCCCATAGCCATTTTTCAAGGGGGAGCAATCAGCAATCATATCTGCTTGTCCCCTTTCTCTTAAAAATGTAGGAAGCCTTGTCATTATGACAGGCAACCCCAAATTACAGTAATAGAACACTGATATGATGAAATGGAGGGAGAGCACAGAGGAGACAACATGTCATATGCAGGACTCTAGATGGCTGACACCAGGCTCAGCTGGCTGGCAGGAGGCCTTGAGTTATCTGCAGAAGGGCCCTGTCAAATCCATCTTAGGAGCCTCACAGCCCAAGAAAATGCTCCCATTTGAAAGAGCAGGTCAGGTTAGGACAGGATGGTTTTTATCCTATAATATGTGATGACAACATACTCATCATATAAACTCATACATCAACATCATCTCATTTCATATGAAAGCATTGCACATGAATTGTCCTCTTCAGAGCAAAAATGCTGTTCATGATCAGAAAACAGCAAAGTTTTCATCCCATTATCTCAGCTTGTTATTGCTGATGAGTTTTAGAGCATGCAGAGTACTGCTGCCATTTTGCACCCAGTATCCCAGTTTGAAATACATGACAATTATGATGAGTGAAGCAAGGCAAATATCTTTACCATAACCTGATAAAACATGCCTACCTAAAATATCCTTTGAAACTAAGTGAGTGTACTGCAAGAGGAAATCTTGTTGATAGGGGGTTGAAATGGACAAAGAGGCACCCTGATCTGTGTTAACTTGAAACCTCTAGACTTCCTCTTGACACTAGAAGTAGTTGGCAACATCGCCCCTGAGGACACCCAATATCTACAGGATTTAGGCCTCATCAGACAGCAGCTTTGCTGACAAGAAACATTACACAACAAAACGTACCTGATAGTAGGTGAACTTGTTACAATAATTCTATATGGCGAACTTCAATATGCCAAACTCAACAAAGAAAACGAGGCCCAAGCTTCAATGCCAACAATATGCTCCGTTGAATCGAAAACGTTCCGCAGAAACTGTATTCCAAGCCCTCATATTGTCACGCATTTCACACAGCATGAACCCACAACCCCAGACAAAACGACGAGAACACGCTGTAACTTCCTGAACCATGAATACATAATGATCAGCTGATCAATGGTTTGTGATTGGTAGCGGAAGAGCACCAACGGTTATTGATTACCAAATATGCTTGCTACGAACACTAGGGCCTGCGGTCTCTCTCCGTGTTATCTGTTCGAATGCGGGTATAGCAAGTTTCTGTGCTAGTGTTAGCAAGTTTTGCCCACACATTATGCACCTTTAGTTACGAAGAATGGCGCAGATGCATACATTACGGCATAACAAACGCAGCATATTGGCGGTATTGGTATGCATTAGTTTGGTTGGGGTTGTCCGGGTTTTTGATATATGCCAGATAATGCGGAATCGCGATAATTTAGAAATTGTCGTCTGTTGAAATGAAGGTATGATGGATGTCATCAAAACTGAAGCTATCAGCCCATAACAACGTAGCTGAGTATCAGCGGGAGGTGAAGGTGAGTGCAAAATAGATTCTAACTACTTAACTAGATGCTAGTATTCGGACCTGTGGTTGATGCTAGTGGAATGAGTTCAGTTCATGTAGTGCTGGTAGAATAAAAATGTGTTGTTCACATATTTTTTGTGTGACTTGCACATGGATTGATTCTTTTAAATGTGACAGCACCAATAGCCATATTCCTCAGAATGTCCGGGGCAATGGAATAACATCCATCTATCGATTCCCCTATTTGTTAGGAAAACAGCAATTTGTACTGTCTTAGTTATATTATGACTGCTTCTCTGAAATACACTTAACAACTTCTTGCTTTATTTTTCCTCATAATTCACTGTGAGTCATGATTTGAATCATGGTCTGTTTCTGTGTGTACAATTTCCCATTTGGAATTGTTGGATCCTTGGAGGACAGGTTCCAAAGATGAATGAATGTGTTTTGCACCCAGCTATCATTGTGACATACTGGACAGCAGAAATATGCTTTATATGTTATCACGCTGCACATTTATGTGGCCAGTTACCTGAATGTTCATTCTGTCCTTGTGATAAGTCATTAGGCAGCTCCTAATAAAGGCATATTAAAAGCTGAAACTAAAATATTAGTTCCAAATCAATTGTGCAATATGTCCAGTTCCCCATACCCTACAAATGGTGTCACAATCTTGCATGCTTTATGGTGCTTTGATGTTGCATTTTTTGTAGACTTCTACACATTGTTGTGTGCTTCAGGATAACATCACTCTTGGGTGCATGCTGCTTGTCACAGGCTAAGCCTCTAATGCAGTGGTACTAGATTCTCTATTCAATGCAGGGTAGCACCAGAAGAAAAATGTCCTAAGCAATGTTATCACAAAAGCATGGCTAGCAATAGGTCAACCTGTAGTGTATATGATGGGACAGAGTTATATTTCAGTGGCTTGACATGCATTTCCAGATATGCACCATCAGGCTGGTTACTAAAGCACATTGCATTTACCATTTTTCTGTTTTCAAGCAGCTGGATCTCCAGTCACAGGGGGCAACCAAAGCAAACAGGCATTTGTTGTGTAACTAACCAGGAAGACCAGCTTCTTACTGCCAGAAAACCCACACTTGGAAGGCCTTTGTCCCAAAGAACTACTCCTGGAATACCTAGTCTTGGAGGACCTACTGTTGGGAGACCTTTGTCAATATACACTGTTGGTGTCTGTTTATCAAGTCAGACTATCCAAACAGCAATGGGCGGCACCACACGAGGGGTGGCCAGAGTGGGATGGGACTGGTAGGGATGGGCTGAAAGGCTGGCCTGGCGGCCGGGCAGCTTCAAAGCCTGACCCGGTGTAAAACGAAAGGGTTGGATGGCATGGGCCGAGCTCACGCTGACTCATCTCAGGACACAAATGGCAAAAATGTTCCTGATCCGAGTCGGAGCATCGCTGTTTGTCCGAAGGTCCTCACTCGTTACACGAAAAACGGCAGTAGGTGTCGTATTCGTAGATATCCGCGAGAAAGCCATTCGAGCGTGGGTCTTCCGGGTGCAGACATTCAAAGCTGTATGTCTTCCGAGAGTAGGTCTCGGGTGTAGGTCTTCCAAGCGTAGGTCTGCCGATCGTAGGTACTCACAGTACCATGCCTTCCAAACGTAGGCCTAACACTGAGTAGGTCTTCCTTCCCTCACCCAAAAAAGCTCTGTACTGCATAGTAGGTCCTCCGCAACCTTGTTCGATGAAAGGGCAGAAACAAAATTATCTAGTCAGTTAGGTCACACAACTTTGGCCTGATAACTTACAGTGACCGCGGGCAGGCCTGTGGTTTGTATATTGTCGCCCTCTACCACAAGCTAACCCCAGTTAAGTGTTAAGTAAGGCAGGGATAGGTGACACGCTATCACCAGGTCTGGGTGAATGATGAAATCAGCCACCTGCTGCCTGGTGGCATCTCCTCAGCTGCTGTAACATGGCGCGATCCTCGAGTTCATGGCTCGGGGCACAGGGTGGTCGTCATAGTTGCCACGGAGGATGTGTTCGCCAGACACCACACCGTCCGCCCGTGGCCCCGCTACCAGGAGGAGAGGGGGAATGGTGTTCTTGTCTCACTGCACTGGTGGGTCCAGCCCACTCAGGCAACAGTCTCACGGCATTGGTTTGTTCAGCCCACTCAGACAGCAGTCTCACGGCACTTTTGGGTCCAGCCTATTCACGTAACACCTCAAAGGGCTACTGTGACAGCAGCCGCGAACACGCTTGACTTGGGAGAGGGGTCTCAGCAAGCCGCGACTTCAAATTACTATCCAAAAGGAGTGGCATGGTGCTTGATAACAATATATTGGTTTCCTCTAATACGCGGCTTGGCTGACGTAATGACGCGATGCGTTGGTTGTACGTCCACAGCCGAGCAGTGGGACAGAAATTGAAATGCATTCGAACTGTATCATTAATTTGAAATGTATTTTGAGGTGGCGCGTGACGCGTAGTTCTTCGTGGATAGGCGTTTCGCCACCTGTAGCAGAACAGGACCCCAGTATGGATCTTGCCATTTCGTGGCTTGCTTGCCGATTCTATTGGGCTCGGGTGCTGACTCAGATCCCCAAGATTAGTACCATTCGTGGATGGGTGTGACCACTCATGGTTAAAGGGGCCAAGCTTGAATCCGTAGGGGACAACCTGATCAGCAAAGTACATTTTGAGCGCGAACTCGTAAATACGTGCATTACGTGGGTAAGATCGAGGAACGAGATCCCATTTTGGGAAAATTGGTTTGGTGGACTCATCTCCTCCCCCCCCCCCCCCCAACTCCCAGTGGTTACACGAAGCACTTGTGACCCATAACAACGCACACATGGCAAAGGAGTATATTCACGATCATTGCACTGCACTAAACAGACGACAAGAGATCTGGGTAGGTGTGTAAGAGCCATCCCCACGGAAGGCCGCCTCGCACCGCACAGCGCGGCGCCAGCTGTTCAGTCCCCTGGCCATCGGCACAGGCACTCTCACACAATGCGGCCGCTGCTGCCACGGCTGGGACGGACGACCTCCGTCGACGCCAGGTCAGGCGGGTCAGGTCGCCTCAGGTCACTCGCGGCCCGACCTGCAGGCGTTCTGACGGTAGAAGAGCCTGAAGCCCGCTCCGACGATGGAGGGCCCCGTCACGACCTTGATGACGAACGGGCCGTCAGTGTTGTCTGCGGAGAGAGCGAGCATGCCGATGCGTCAGGGTTTTAGTGGCGGGCAGGGGGGGGGGGGGGGGCGTCGGGTGACTCACGCAGTCAAGTCTCCCAGAGTGGAAGCTTCGGAAAACCTCCGCCGATCGCTCTAGGTGGCCACAGTGAGGCACCCGAATGCAACAGACATTCACTCATCCCGCCGCCTATTGAAATGGTCGTCGCGTGGAAGGAGACGATGTAAAAGCCACATTCGCTTGCCCCGTTTTACTCAAGCTCGACAGTTCAGCAAAGCCGGGAGAGGGAGCTTTGGTTTAGGTTCCGCCGCTGGGCGATAATTTTAGCGTCCAGTTGGTTGCAGCTTGTGCTCTTACGCGATACACGACTGGGACTGAGGACCTCACCATGGTTTGTTACGTACGAATTTTGCTCCAGTCGTATACAGCCCAACAATCTCACTTTATCTTGTACGTAAGCCTTCTGCTTTGACTTCACCACGGTAAGCGTGGCGTCTGTGCTGCGGGTCTGTGGGCCAGCGATTGGTCCGCGCCAGCCGAGTCTGCTGATGTCACACACTGACCGGTGACGTCGGCGTGTTCGGTGAGCAAGCTGTTGAAGGAGCCGTCGTTGAGCCGGTCGCCGCAGAGTCGGTCCGCACTGAGCAGGATGTAGTCGTCGGTGCACTGAGTCGGCCCGATGCCGGCTTGCCCCGCCGGCACGTTGGACGAGACCACCAGCACCCCTGCGGCGCCGGCGGACCAGTGTCAGCGGCGATCAGGCCGGCGTCACAGCCTGCGCCACGCCAGGGGGGGGGGGAAGGGGGCGGGTCAGCGGGGCCGCCCGGCGCGCCGTGCACCGGACCGGGTCGCAGGCAGCTGGTGAATCGCGATCATGGAGTGCGGGTGAACGGGCGCACACGAGCGGCTTGGTGTGGAGCACTCGGCGTTCGCGGAAACGGACCCCTGATCAGGGTTGCCCGGTGCTTTTCTCCAGCTGTTGCGCGTCGTGCCCTCTCACCTCCGACAACGGAGGTCCTGGCGTTGAAGATGTCGAACGTCTCTGGCTGGCTGAACCTGTCGAACCGGTCGACGCCGTACGTGATGCTGCAGAAGCCGGCTTCCTTCCGAATGCAGATTATGTAGTTGAGATTATTCTGTAAGCGGTGCAAACGTGAACACGGGATGACATTGTGTAGGAGGAGTTTATAATTCCAGAGCACTGCCATGGCCACCTTACCATCGCAGTTGACAATTCACTCGTTCTTTCGTGCTAAAATAGGAGGCTCTCGAAAACTGTGTGGCTCACCGGCTTTGCATTGCGTGTGATGTCAGATGAGAAATTTGGGTAAAAAGGCCTCATCGTTTGCCGTCTCCCGCTGCTGGTAATGAGCAGGTTGGCCCGGGTGATTTGCGGGAGGGTGTTGTCAGCCGTCTGTCGCCACAAACCACATCAAACACAGCGTCACAGTCGAAACCGAGCTCGGCGTCCATCGGCGGCCCCCCCCCCCCCCCCCCGGCTCGGTGACGCACCAGGTACCCCTCGCCGGCGGAGCCCGCCGCCGCGAAGTTGAAGCTCTCGAACTGGCCCATCTGGCCCGTGTAGTGCTGCAGGCAGTGGTGCGGCGCGCGCGCCGGCGACGCCCGCGCATACTGCGTGACCTTGACCCGCCAGCGGTGCGGTGTCGGCCCCGACGAGGTCACCATGCGCAGCTGGACCGGTCCGCTCACGTCCCCCACCTCCACGTACACTGAGGCGGGGGTGGACGTCGTTAATGACGGGCGCCTCCCACAATGCGCATGGTGCGATCCTCTCGGCGCAGTTAACGCATCGCCCACGACACGAAAAGTACGTTTAATTATATCAAATGCTTCATTGAATAATAAATGAAGTCTTCAACTTAAAAAGTTCTTAATAAGGAAATTATACCACTGAAACTGATGAAGTATTGAAGTTCTTAGATTAACTACTTTATTTAATAAAATGCATTTATTCCACTGCTGAGTCATCGTAGGTATACTGCTGTCCGTGTTTTTATGTTGTTTGTCTTCGTTTATTTAGCGGCCGTGGCTTACTGCGCGTGAACGATGATCTTTGCTTTGTACTGGTACGCGCGTCCTCGTGCGGTGCTGTTTTGTACTGCTACGTGTGTCCTCGTACGGTACTGTTTTGTACCAGTACGCGCGTCTCGTGCGGTGCTGTTTTGTAATGGTATGTGCGTCCTCGTGGGGTACTGTGTTGTGTTGCTGCGTGCATCCTCGTGCGGTACTGTTTTCCATCCTCGTGCAGTACTGTTTTGTGTTGCTGTGGGCGTCCTCGTGCGGTGCTGTTTTGTACCGGCACGCGCGTGCTCGTGCGGCACTGTTTTGTTCTCCTGCGGGCGTCCTCGTGCGGTGCTGTTTTGCACCGGCACACGCGCCCTCGTGCGGTGCTGTTTCGTGCCACTCACTGTGCTGCCCGCTGTTCTGGCCGCAGATGCCCGGCACGGGACCGTTTGTGTTCTGGCCAGTGACGGTGAACTCCTCTGTGTTACAGTTGCCGTCCGTCGGCGGCGCCGTCTGTGGACAGAGCAGAGCGGGGCGGACGCGTAAGGTAGGCTCACTGTGACACAGTCCGCTTCAGAGGTCCGACGTCTGTATCGGCTGTCAACCTCTCCTGGCCACATCTCTGCAGCAGGCATGTGCCTGGTTCCACAGACATGTGCCTGGCTTATAATCGTGGTTCCCGGTTGCCACTTTCCCGCATGATCACGAAACCATGGGTTCTGGTACCTGCGGGTTCTCTCATGAGCACTCTTGATTTTCCGTGTTTTCTTGACAAATACCAGACCCTGTCCTTGGCTTCCATTGTCAACAAACATTAGATCCTGGGTTCTAGTGTCCGTAGTTCTTTCATTAAAAAAAGAGATCATGGTTTCTGGTTCGCCATAGTTCCTCACAAAATCAGACCCCTGTTTCTGGTTCCATTGATTCAATAACAAAACCCTACATTACGGTTTCTGCTTCTTATTGGTTCTTTCGTCAACACTAACCCGGTTGGCTGTTGGGTAGTTCCGACCGTTGAAGTAATATCGTCTGGAATAAGATATATGAATAGATCTAAGGAAGAGATGGTCGGCAAATGTTTTAAAATAGTTAATCGTGAAACAAGCGTAATATAAGTGCAAAGTATAGATACGCACTGGCACCTGACAATAATTCTGGGTAAGATCCTGGTTGTTGCTTCCCGTGACCTTAGCTGGATATTGGTTCCTGTCGGATCCCCAACATAGTCGCAGGCTGATCTTGGGCTCTTGCCGGATCTCTGCCGCTATTCTAGGCTGGACTTTGAGTATTGCTGTATCTCCCGGTGCGGATAGTACGGCGGTTAACGCGTCTGCGTTTATCGCTTCACGCCTGGGAAACCTGAGGTACTGGGTTCGATCTCCCGCGATGTCCGCACTTCCCGCCAGGGTGAGAGGCAGGCGACGCCTGCCTGCCTCAGCAGCTGAGAGCGTCGTAAAGCCTTGATGGTTGGGATGGATCTCCTGGTTTGTCATCAAGATGTATGTTGGATCTTGCTGGTTTCCCCACCACAGTTCACAGCCGATCTTTTTTTGCTGGATCTCTGGTCTTATGCTTCATTTGTTCCTGGCTTCTCCGAGTTCCGGAACCGGTAATCGGGAGCAGGGAACTGGTTTTCAGAAAGATATCCTATGACCGGGCACATGTCTGCTCTGTAGTCGAAAATGCTAGTAATGTACACACAGCAAAATGGTAGCTAAATGGATTGCCGAGCAACAACCACAGGCATGCGCTAAATAAGAACATGGAACCAACTGAGTCCTTGGACATGGACTCAACCAACCCGGGGAGGCCAGCGTGGTCTTCAGACCCTAGCTTTATAAGAAACTGCTTTTTTGCATCCTGAGAGATGTGCGTCGCGGAAAACAAGCATTACCGCGGCTCAGTAGCGGGGCATGGGTTGTTTCTTCTGACTGTGGAACATGAAGCTTTAGCTTTCCGGACTCTTGGCTCATGGCATACCACACCCTGTTCCACGCTCCGTCGTCCGCGGTTCCATGTTACCGTTATGACCGCTTCAAGCGAAGGCGATGTGAGATCAGCAGGGCCCCCACCATGTGACTGTGCCGTTGGGAGAAATTGCGTGCCTGGGTTGTGATTGCCAGCGTGCCGCGGGTCATGGTGGCCCAGCTGGCAGCAGTTCTAGTATTCTCGTCCTGGTGGTTTCTACCATCATTCACCCTTAGATGCAAGCATGTTGTAGTTTTGATCGGTTTTCCATTGCTTTGTGCACTGAATTTGCGTCAAAAACCGCAGCGCATCAGCGCACGACATAACTGCAGTGGATCTATTTTCGCTAGCCGTTCGCGCCCATCATCTGCGAGCGCTGCACTGCGATATGACACTCACCCACAATCCGCAGCAGATCTCGATTGAGACTCCTCAATCTCGATTGAGACTCCGGCTGCCATTGCAGATGCAACATGTGTCTTGTCTCGATTTATCCCAGCTGCGGAGCACATGCGCTTATACGGCTTCCCGCGTAGTTTGCGGTACACCCGTGTTATCCATACGTTCCGTCTTTTCTTGACGTTTGCCGTGCCGGTCCCCCACCGTCTCTGATGCTACCAGATGTCCCGCGGCACAGAATGACCCGATAATCCGGCATTTTCCCACGGTCGCGGTCCCGGTCGGCGGCGCTGTATCGGCGCGTGGAACGTAGAAACCGAGCATCCATTGATGATCAGTAGTCCCCCAGCGCCGCCGAGTCCGAATCAGACGCTCATTCAGGGCTGACCTGGCCACCTGTCGCAGTAGCGAGCGTGCGAACCCGCCCGACAAGTGCACGCCGCCCCTGTGGGGGTCGTCGGATCACGTTCCGCCGGGGGTGGCGCCGCGGCCCCTTGTCGCCGGCCGACTGCGGGCGCGCGGGGGAGGCGGAGAGCGCGCGAAGTTTGGGTCGGGTGGCCGTGACGGGCGGGCGGCGGTCGGGGCGCTCCAGACCTCGGAACAGGCGTGACTCCGGGTGTGTGTCGGGGCGGCGTGGAGGCGAGACCCTGGAGCGAGTCGCCGAGAGGTGTCTGCCCTTCGGAGCGTGTTATGCGAAGCGTGGATTCATCGCGACAAGACATTTCCCCTTCACGTCGTGGCCAGCGGCCTCAAGAGCGTCCAGCTGTCCCTGCAGTCCATTGATAGAAGAGCAACCAGCTGTCCCTGCGGTCAGCTACCAGCACCTCTCAGTCCAGACTCAAATGCTGAAGTGCTTAAATTGTGACCCTTACTCCGGCTACGTTCTAAATTTGACGGACCGCTGGAATCAGTCCGCCGCGCCTTGCCTTCTGTAGGAGTGTCGGCGCCGGTGGAATTCGGTGGCAGTGAGTGCTGGCGATGCCCACGTGCGCGCGATCCGCCGCTGCCCTCATCCTGCTGTCGGCGCTGCTCTGTGCCGACGTCGCCGACGCCGGCACCGGCGCCAGCCCTCTGCCGCCGGGCGTGCGCGTGTTCCGCTTCCCAGGGGTGTCCAACTGGAGCGCCCTGCTGCCGGACGCGGCGAGCGGGCAGCTGCTGGCCGGCGGGCGAGGCGCGCTGGTCCGGCTGGACGCCGAGGCGCTCTCGCTGACCGAGCTGGCTCGCTGGCCGGCCGATGCGCTCGACCGGCAGCGCTGCCTGCTTAAGGGCCAGCCGGCCGCGCTCTGCGCCAACTTCGTCACGGCGCTGCTCGGCCGCGGCCGCCGCCTGCTCGCCTGCGCCACCAACGCCTTCGCACCCGTCTGCACGTGGCGGCGCGCTGACTTCGTCTCGCTGGTGGAGCGGAACGTCTCCGGGCTGGGCGTCGGGCCGCACTCGCCGCTGCAGCCCTCAGCGGCGCTGCTCGCCGGCGCCGGCGCCGTGTTCGCCGCGGCGCCGGCCGACTTCGCCGGCGCCGACGTGGCCGTGTGGGGCGCGCCGGTCGGTGGCGGCGGCGTGCGCAGCGCACCTTTCGACGCCGCCTGGCTGGACGCGCCGCGGCCGGCGGCGTTGCTCAAGGCCGGGCCGTACGTGTACGCCGTGCTGACGGAGGCGGCTGGCGGCTGCGACGGCCGCCGCCCGGCGCTGACGGTGGTGCGCGTCTGCCAGCGCGACGCGGCGCGTCCCGCGCGCGGGCGGCTGTGGCGCGCCTTCCGCTCGGCACGGCTCGAATGCGGCCTGCCGGGCGAGCGGGCGCCGTCGCCGCTGCGCGAGGCCGCCGCCGCCACGCTGCGGCACGGTCGCCTGCTGGTGGCGGCGCGCGCCGCGCCGCTGGCCGGCTCGGCCGTCTGCCAGTACCGGCTGGCGGACGTGGACGCGGCGCTGGACGGCCCGCACCTCTCCGCCGCGCCAGACGGCGGCCGGGTGTCGGCACCGACGCCGGGCCCACAATGCGCCGAGCCGCCGGCGCCGGCCGAGCGCTTCCACCGGATGGCCACTGCCGTCAGGCAGGCGGGCCCGCCACTGGCGATCGACGCGCGGCACGCGTGGCGCTTCGTCGCGGCCGACGCGGTGAGCGTCGGCAACGGCACGGCGATGGTGGTGTTTGCTGTCTCTGAGCGCGGCGTGGTGCGGAAGACGCGACTGCTGGACTCGGGCGCCAGCTGCGAGCTGGACACGTTCGACGTGTTTCGAGAGCTGGCGCTGAACATGAGCAGCGTGAAGAGCCTCGCGTTGGACACCGCTTCCTCCGCGCTTTACCTCGGCACGGACGCCGAGGTGGTGCGCTTGCCGGCCGCTAGATGTCACCGGCTGGCGGCGGCGGCGGCCTGCCTGGGCTGCGGCGATCCGCACTGCGGCTGGGACGGACGCCGTTGCACACTGCGGCCGGCGGCGGACACCGCCTGGTCGCAGGCGTCGGCGGTGGCCTGCCCGCCGCCGGTGCCCCCTGCCGCCGGCTGGGCGGCCTGGTCCGCGTGGCAGCCGTGCGGCCGGCGGGACGCGCCGCCGCTCGCCTGCCGCTGCCGCCGCCGCGTCTGCATCGCCGCCCGCTGCGACGGCGACGCGGCCCAGGTGTCGGGCTGCGCGGTGGCCGGCGGCTGGGCGCAGTGGTCGCCCTGGACGGCGTGCTCGGCCTCGTGCGGCTTCGGCGTGCGCTCGCGGCGGCGCGCCTGCTCGGACCCGGCGCCGGCCGGCGGTGGCCCAGCCTGTCGCGGCGCCGCCACCGAGCAGGCGCTCTGCCCGCTGCCGGCCTGCGCGCCGCGCCCGGTCGGCCCCGTCGCCGGCGGCTGGTCCAGCTGGGGCGCGTGGAGCGAGTGCGGCGCCGGCTGCGGCCCGGCCGTCGGCCTGCGCAGCCGCCGGCGGCGCTGCGACGCGCCGCTGCCGGCGCACGGCGGCGCCCCCTGCGCCGGCTGCGAGCGCGAGGTGGCGCCATGCCCGGCCGCGCCCTGCCCCGAGCACCGCGTCGACTCTGGCTGGACGGCCTGGGCGCGCTTGCCCGTGTCGGCCGCCGTCTCGCCGAGCGGCGCGCGCCTCCTGCGCCAGCGCGGGGTCACGGCCGTCCTGCGCCGCTTCGGCTACTCGTGCTGGGTGCGCTCAGAGAGCGGCGGCAGTGCCAGCCGCCAGCTGGAGACGATGCGGCGCCGGTGCGAGCCGGCCGGCACGTGCCGCCTGATCGGGGCGCGGCCGGGCGCCGGCTGGGGCGGCTGGACGCGCTGGGCGCCTTGCTCGCAGCCGTGCGACCGCGGCGTGACATTCCGCACGCGGCCGTGCCACGGCAGCGGGCCCGACTGCGCCGGCGCCGGCCGCGAGGAGAAGGAGTGCCATGTGCACCGCTGCCCGGCCGCCTGGACGTGCTGGGCCGCGTGGGGCGCGTGCGTGCCGGCGTGCGGCCTCGGCGTGCGTCGCCGTCGCCGGCGCTGTCTCACCCCGCTCGGCACCGCTGCCGACGGCTGCGCGGGCGTCGCGGAGGAGACGGTGCAGTGCGGAGACGCGGCGTGCGTCGGCTGGCAGCCCTGGAGCGGCTGGTCGCCGTGCGAGGCGGGACTGCAGCGCCGCGAGCGCAGCTGTCCGCCGGGGAACTGCTCCGGCGCGGCACGCCAGCGCCGGCTGTGCGAGGAGCCGGCGGCGGCCGGCTGGGCGGCCAGCTGGCTGCCGCCACTGGCCGCCGGCCTCGGCTCGTTCTGCGCAGGCGCGGCGGTGGCGGCGGCGCTTACCTGCTGCCTGGTCAGCCGCGGGCCCGCCTCGGAGCCGTGTTCCAGCGCCGGCTCGGTGCCCTCCAGCCCGCACTACATCGCCGGCAAGGCGCCCGAGTTCTTCCCGACGGCGCCGCCGCCGGCCGCCTGCCCTGTCGTCGGCTCGCTGGAGCAGGCCGACGGGCTGGCCGGCGCCTGGAGCCTGGCCATCGCGCTCGGCAGGCGGCCGCGCTCGCCTCAGGCGGCGCGGACGGCGCGCTCCAGTCCCGAGCGCCGGCCGGAAACGCTGGCCACCATCGCCGAGGAGCGGCCCGACCTGCTGTCGGAGTGACGCCCAGCCTGAGGCGCGCATGACCGGGCTGAGGTTCTGAAGGCTGGCAGAGGCGCGTCTGGGACCTGTCCGCTCGCCGCCCGGGAAGACTGTCTATGAGCGCGGCGGATAGTGCGGAGGAGGAGCGGTGTGTTGGCTCCCTCTAGCCGGCGGAGGCGAGCGCGCGCTCGTCTCGTGATGCCGGTTCGGTGCAGACATCGGACTGAACGCGTTGTCATGCGGAGGTGGTCTGGTGACGATTTAAGATCGCATTCGACTACGGGAAGTCAACGTGGCGCACCGCGTGGTCTTTTTGACACCAACTGGTCCGTCGCTTTGACTTAGCAAATGGTGACCCATTCCGCTGTATCCTTTCCCTGGCTGCCTCGGTCCATTATGCACTAGTCCGTCGTGAGGTCGGACGGCTCGGCGTGCAGTCTGAAGACCGAGCTCAGTCCGTTTTGTACCGGCCGCTCGACCTGCGCAGTATGTTGCGCCGTCACAGCGCTGGGCTGGCTCGTCCCCGCGGGTCGCCGCCGCGAGAGTGAGCTCCAGGGGCAGCCGCTGCGGAGCTGAGAGTGAGCTCCTGGGGCGGCCGCTGCGGAGCTGAGAGTGAGCTCCTGGGGCGGCCGCTGCGGGGCTGGGTCCCGCTGGCGGGCGGTGTGATCTCAGGGGCTGACACGCGCACGCATCAGACGATGGTATCAGCTGCTCGGGCCAGCTTCGCCAATGCCGCAGGCTGCTCAGCAGCTGGGACTATCAGGAACTGAAAGGTTTCAGGTGGTCTGCGTGAGGTCCTCGGAGATGCGACAAAGCTTAAGCAGGCCATCGATACAGTGTTTCAGGGGTTATGCCTGTGAAGTCATGCGAAGGGTTGTGGTATGACCCGTTACGTGTGTAAAGTCGTACTCGTGGGTCACTTAGTGTGACATGATAATGTATGAAATATAAAAAACAACCGCTCTTACGCTGAAGATAACATGTTTTGTTCCTGTTTTCGTCATCGATGCGTGAGAAGTGACAGCACGGTTGATGACATTTACGTGGTTGATTACTAGTGTCGTACATCATTCCGAGTCAGACTTGATCAGCATTGGTGGCAATGTCTCAGGATCCCATGCAAGCACCTGTCCTGAGGCGAGATTGGAGATGATGAGTCCAACGGTTCTACCTCGAATCGTTTGGGCGTCGTCGCGATCTGATTCATTTATGTATGGTTATTTGGGATCGTGCTGTCCTATCCATTGGTTTGGTAGGTTTGGAGGCTGGCCGGCGCTGTTCCTGCATTTCGCGCTCGTTCTGAACCGCATTGCCCATGAAAGTGCGTGCAGTAATTCCACAGCCTTCACTCCTGATCAGCTAACATTACCGCCATACGTGGGGCCCGCTATCAACCCCCCCCCCCCCCCCCAATTCTATCCATCCATATTCTGGGCCCGTCGGTTTTTCCCGACCCGGTGCGTTAGAACGCATCTTACACAGGGGTGGGACGCACCCGCCGGTGCCGACTGCCTCGCGCGCCATCGTCCCGCGTCCCTGGACGCCTCACCTCGAACTCGAGCAGGTCCAGCCGCAGCTGGGTGACGTCGGTCGACGCCTTCTGCACGGTGAAGACGCACGTCCGCGCCGCGGTGCCCGTCGCCGGGTACTGCGGGTTGACGAAGAACGTGCCGTTCTGGCTGGTGGTGCCGCCGCAGGAGAGGGTGTCTGAGGGAGAGCGGCTGATGAGCGTGGTGAAGCAGCTGGTGAACATTGGGTCGTAGCACAGCTGATCGATGCCTGGGACGTCGGGACTTAGGATTGTTTGTCGTCAGGGGCCCAGTGCTAGAACTGGCATCTGAAGAGTAGGCAAGGGTCTAAACACCTCAGGATCGGCCACAACTTTGTGAAGAATCAGTGGCAAGCGTCGGGGCAGACATTTATATCTGAGTGTTTTTCGTTTTGATTTGTCATGACAATAATGGCTTCTACTTAGGTTAGGACTCAATTCCAATTTCATTCAGCATCAATTTCACCCAAGCGGAGTCAAGCTCAAGTCTGCTTCGAATTGTGTGGTGTTTGCTGCCTGCTGCCTGAGCTGGCTACTCACAGAAAGCAGACGCCTGACCCGTCCACTCACAGACACAGTAGACGCCTGACCCGTCCACTCACAGACACAGTAGACGCCTGACCTGTCCACTCACAGACACAGTAGACACCTGACCCGTCCACTCACAGACACAGTAGACGCCTGACCTGTCCACTCACAGACACAGTAGACGCCTGACCCGTCCACTCACAGACACAGTGGACACCTGACCTGTCCACTCACAGACACAGTAGACGCCTGACCCGTCCACTCACAGACACAGTAGACGCCTGACCTGTCCACTCACAGACACAGTAGATGCCTGACCCGTCCACTCACAGACATAGTAGACGCCTGACCTGTCCACTCATAGACACAGTAGACACCTGACCCGTCCACTCACAGACACAGTAGACACCTGACTCGTCCACTCACAGACACAGTAGACGCCTGACCCGTCCACTCACAGACACAGTAGACGCCTGACCTGTCCACTCACAGACACAGTAGACACCTGACCTGTCCCCTCACAGACACAGTAGACACCTGACCCGTCCACTCACAGACACAGTAGACACCTGACTCGTCCACTCACAGACACAGCAAACACCAGACCCAGCCACTCACAGACACAGCAGACGCCGAAGCCGAGTGCGCAGGAGCCACGCGCCAGTCCTCCCCGGCTGCTGCACTCGGCCGGCAGGTAGCAGGTGCCGCTGGCGGTGAAGCCGTCTGCCTCGTCCACCTGACAGGCCGAGTTGGAGAACCGCAGCAGCGTCAGCAGCGGCAGAACTGGCGGCAGTGGCGGGAGGCAACGGCGTCAGCAGTGACAGAACTGGCGACAGGCGCGGGAGGCAACGGCGTCAGCAGCGGCAGGACTGGCGGCAGGAGCGGGAGGCAACGGCGTCAGCAGCGGCAGAACTGGCGGCAGGCACGGGAGGCAACGGCGTCAGCAGCGGTGGAACTGGCGGCAGGAGCGACAGAACTGGCGGCGTGGGAGGCAACGGCGTCAGCAGCGGTATAGCTGGCGGCAGGAGTGGGAGGCACCGGCGCCAGCAGCGGCGGAACTGGGAGTAGGCGCGGGAGGCAGCGGCGTCGGCGGCGACAGGAGGGCAGGCGCACGAACAGCGGCGTGGCAGACGCCAGGTGCGAAGCGTGAACAACTGAAGGGATGATTACACCGCTCCAGGCTGGGCAGCGGCAGAGTGAGCAGAGCAGGGAACACATTGCCAGCTGCAGTGTGGACAGCAGGTGCAGTGATAGGCGTATAGAACAGCCTGCGCTGATGTGGTCCGACGCGAGTGCGTCATTTAGACAGTGACGGCCCCGACGGCACACGGGCATCCACAGAACCACTGTGAGCTGTGACGAAGATTACGGATATCACATCAGGAACCGAGGTGTGGAGCGGATTCTGCGGTCGGTGAAGCGGAAATGAAGGTTTATGACAACTGTTCAAAACAGAAGGTCAGTCGTTGTTTTGTCATCATCATGATCATCATTATCAGTACGCTGATTGCGCTGAACGAATTGTTTCATTGTGCGGGCTGTCGTAGCAGTGGTTCGGAGTACCGTCGGCGTACAGAGCAGCGGGTTTCTGGAAGGTCGAAACAGAGTAATGACAGGCTCGCACCACTTGTGAAGCATTAAGAGCCCTGACGCCCGCTGACGCCCGCTGCCGGGCTCGGTTCGGACGCCTTAAGGGCCCTGACGTCCATTGCCTGGCTTGCTTCGGTCGTGTATTGACATCATCTGCTGATATGTTCAACGAGTTGAGACGCCAACTTGTCTTGTTAACTCAGCTAGAATATCTTGCATTCACATTCACGCTCTGGTGAACACATTGGAACCTATTTTTTATGTGATATCTTTCTCTATGCCACTCAAGATAGATATGGGGGGGGGGGGGAATGCGACGCCTGTCGGGTTTTTGGAAGGTGGCCTGACGCGCCCCGCGCAGCGTGACCTGCGCCGCCCGCACGGCACTGCTGCCGCTGCGCCTATCACACCCGGCCAACACCAAGGTGCTGCTGATCCGGCCGCAGGGTGCATCGGTGGCCCCGACCTTGTGTCATCGCCCCCCCCCCCCCCCCGATGACGACGCTGCGATTAGCGGAATATCTACCGCCCTGTCAGCAGTGCATCCGCTGAGCTGCAGTCCGCTGAACTGCAGAACCGTCGACGTCGGATATTTCAGCCCCCTGAAATATACCGGGCACCGGCAGTCGGTGGTGCCGTTCCCAACCTGCGAAGAGCGTCGAACCGTGCCACCAGATAAAACGACATGGGCGACCTTCTGGGTCTGAAACAGTGGGTCTGCCAACCCACTAGAGGAGAGAATATTCTGGATCAAGTACTGTTCCGATGCATGCTATCACAGATCCATGTCCAAGACGGTCTTCTGAACTCAGATCACAAACAGACCATTACCTCCCTCAGTGGGCCGGTGAGCAGCCGGTCTGTGGTCAATCGGCTCACTGCGTTCAACTGTAAGAAGGCTGGCTTCGACGGTCTGCGCCAGAGCCTCTCTCTGATCCCGTGGGGGCTGCTGGATGACGTCGGAATTGACCAAGCAGCGGACACCTTCTACACACTACTTGAGTCGGGCATGCCGACCACGTCCTCACGGTGATCCTCCGGTACAGCCTGCATTCCTGGTTCGACGGTACGGTGCGAGCTGCTCACCGTCTGAGACCACAGCCTGCCTTCCTGGTTCGGCAGTGCGGTGCGAGCTGCTCTTTGGCTGAGACGGTTTTCCGACGTTTGTGGAGAAACCTGAGCGCGACGACCGCGGCTGAGTTTGCGTCCAGCAGACGTGATGTTTAGTCCGTGTATTATATATACCAGTACTCTAAATATTTACATAAACTCACCGACGCTTTCAAGAGCGACCCCAAGTGGTACCGGTGGTTTTTAAAATGTGTCACGAAGAAGTCGTGCATATCACCAGTCTTGCTTAACTCTGAGCGGACTCTTGTGTCGGATGACATGACCCGCGCTGCCGCGTTGAATGACGCCACTGCTCTGAAATTTGCTAAATTTGTGTGCAAAACCCTCCAGATGCGCTGTACCACCCAATCGAGTCACTGAGCCAGCTGCGAGTCTTTGAGGCAGCCGTGCGATCCGCGATAACTATGGTCGGTCCCGACAAGGTCTGTGGGACTGACAATATCAGTGCTCGCATGGCCACCGAGTGTGCGGACGAGTAAGTTGCTCCGCTCAAGAAGATTTGCAACCCCTTGGTGGGTTACGGTGTTTTCCCGGGAAGATGCAAGCAGACAAACATCACACATTTTTTCAAGAAAGGGGACCAAAAGGAGCCGTCAAATTACAGAAGTACCCTGCTTCCTCCCTTTGTAAAGATACTGGGACGTGTTTCGTATGGTGAGCTGTCCCGTCACGTCTCGCCTGTGTTGTGCCATCATCAGTATGGTTCTATTCTTAGGCGTTCGTGCAGCACGAACTTATGTGTTTAACCGGAAATCGGCTTTGGAGGCTATGCCGAACGGATACCAGACAGGCGCGATTTACACGGATTATTGGGCTGCTTTTCAGAGCATCGACCATGAGCTCCCAATCCGCAAGCTAAAACATGCATACCATTGGAGGGAATCTGCACTTCATAGTTTGTTCTGTATCTGTTCGACAGACATCAGACGGGTATCGTCAACGGAAAACTTCCCATTGGAAATTGGTGACCTCTGGGTGCCGCAGGGATCACTCATGGCTCCCCTTTTTCCACCGTTTATTAACGGTCATCCTTACGTCATTGGATCTAGCTGTTGTGTATGCCGATGACTGTTTGACTTTGACTTTGACTGTTTGTTTATCCGATGACTATTTGTATGCCCGACTGACGGCCTGCCGCTGCAGAATGATCTCAATCATCTGGTAGCGTGATCGGTCAGGTGGGGGCTGACCCTCAACCCTCAAGGTGTGAAACTTTCACGGTGACTCTCAGGCATGCCCCCGTCCAGACCAAGTATGTTATCGATAGAACTGAGCTCGAGCATGTGTATAAAATTAGGGACTTTGGCGTGATACGGAATACCAAACTAACCTTCGCCTCACATATCCCAGACAAAGTGAGAAGGGGCACTTCGTCACTTCGTCACTTCGTCACTTCGTCGAGCACTTCGTCTCCTTGTTCGGTCCTTCCAGGTCGGTACCAGCAGGTCAAAATTCAACCGAAGCGCAGTGAAGGTGGCGTATTGTGCCTATGTGCGTTCGGTTTTAGAATATTCTAGCGTGGTCTGGACTGGTGCAGTCAACGCCCACACAATGCGGGTTGATCCAGCGCAGCACAACCTCTTTATTTGGTTGCTTACTCACACATTCTCAGGGCAAACAGCTTCTCCTTATGGCAGCCTTCCGTTTCATTACACAATTTCATCCCTAGTAGCACGAAGAGTGCAGCAGGATTTACTGTTTCTGAGAAGCATCTTGCAAGGTAAACTGGACTCTCAAACCCAGCTCAGCTGCTTCCCTTTGCTTGTGCAGCCTTGACCGACCCGCGCCCGAACTCTGCTCGGTGTATCTCGCGATCGTGTGCGGACAGTAAAGGGTGGTCTGTTTTGCTGACTGCCAAGCGTTGGGTACACTTTTTGGGGACGAACGCTAGCGCGGATGTCTTCCATGACAGTTTTGGCATTTTTAGAGTTCAAATGATCAAGTATGTTTTATCTCTGTAGCATCTCCACTTCGCTTTGAGGTGTTTCATCCTTTAACTATGTTCATACTACTGTGTGATGTGTATTGTATTTGATTTAAACTACCTCGGCTGTTAATGGAATGCTGCTGTGTTTGTGATAAAATAAAATAAACAAATAAACATTATTGCCGAAGTCCGCATTGCGAAAATTTACGAAATCGGAATTTTGTCGCGCTTTCGTAGCTTTACTTGCACCATATCCGTTTACCCAAAAATTGTAAAGCTGTTTTGTACGGTGAACGTCGTCACTGGCCGTGAATTTTGTCAATGTCATGCAAGGTCATTGTTGGCGCCAAATTACCCGCGAAGACCGCTACGTCATGGGCCAGCTTGAGGAGCAAGACAGGGCTATTGCCGTGTTCTCGAAGTTGGGCCTTAGCGTATAGCTGTGAAATCAGAGTGACCCCTCAAAGTGAATCAAATCTCTGACCCCTACCCCCACGCTGCAAGCGGTGACGGGGTGTCGAAGCTCGCGAGATTTAATTGATATTTGTACCTACGTTGCAAAATGTGATCGGTCCAGGAATGCTGTTCGTGCAGGAATACTTTTCGCATTGGTACATGCGAAACCACATGGGGTGGTACTCACACAAGAACTTGCTGTGCCGATCTCCGTCGAAAGGCTCGACGCCTTGGCTTAGCACCAGACCATTGATGCTGTTCACACCCAGTTCTGCATCCTCCGCACCGTAGTCACTTAATGCTGTACCATTTAGAAGCCCGGCACCATCACTGTACCCCGCGCCACTCGGCGGTCCTCCGGGCTCGCCCTCCGACCCGCCCGGCGCACTTCCCAGCCGGGTGGCGAGGAGCTGTCCCTCCGCGACGCCCGCGTCGCCCGCGTCACCCTGACCGCCGCCGGGCGTCGGCGGCGACGCGTCGGCGCCGGCGGCTGAGCCGCGCTGCAGGCCCAGGTAGCGCCGACGGTAGAAGTCGGCGCGGCGGCGAGTGTCCCGCTGGCGGCCGCCGGCGCCGCCGGACGCCGCCGCCGCCAGCCAGAGCAGCAGCAGCGCGGCCCCGCTCGGCCGCATGCCTACCGCCATCGGGGCCGCGAGGCGCCGCTCATGGCGCCGGGCTCGCTCGGGCTGCCAGAGGGTCGCTGAGGTCGGGCCGGGGCGCCGAGCGGCGTCCGGACCGGTCTGCGGGGGAGGGGCCCGGCCGGCGGAGGCCTGGATGTGGACCCTCCACGTCCCGTTGTGGAGTAGGAGCGGCAGGTCCCCTTCGGCTACTCAGTGCTGGCGTTCGCCGCTTCTCGGCCGTCTGGTGCCGGCAGTCTCACGGTTCACCCTGCCAGTCGCAAATCCTCGGCTTTTGTCCGGCACGGAGAGTGCGCGTGTCTCAAGTCTGGCGTCTGCTCGCGCACCTGCACCCCTCTGGCGGCCGCCGTCAACTGCAGCAGGGAGTCACGCCGCTTGACCAGGGCTAGAGGCGGGTCACGCTGGCTACCCGCGCGCACGACTCGAGCGGAGAAAACGCCGATTCAGTCTGGGCCGGAACTCTCCTCGCGTGTGGAGATGCGCTGAAGATCTGGCTTACGTGAGTGCGGGGGTGCAGGAAGAGGGTTGTCCGAATTGCAGTTACCCTCTGAACGCGATCGCCTGTCTCAGTCCAGCGCATGCAAATGTCGCGCGCCGCTGGTTTCTAGCTCCAGCGCAAACAGATACCGCGCGTTGCCACCTCCGGCAATTGGACGGCTGCTCCGCCCCCGACCTTAGCTCCATTGTGCTGTCGGCTGAGAAGCTGGTTGGCGCTATTACGTCCCGCTCTGCCTGCTATCTGGCTCTCCTCCCTCGGTGGGGGGGGGGGGGGGGGGGGGGGGCGGGGGGGCGGTGACCACGGCTCGGTCTGGGTCTCGGCTCTGCCTGCTATCTGGCGCTCCTCCCTCAGGGGGTGGCGATGACACGACTCGGCTTTGGTCTCGGCTCTGCCTGCTATCTGGCGCTCCTCCCTCAGGGGGTGGCGGTGACACGGCTCGGTCTGGGTCTCGGCTCTGCCTGCTGTCTGGCGCTCCTCCCTCAGGGGGTCGCTGTGACACGACTCTGCTTGGTCTCGGCGCTGCCTGCTATCTGACGCTCCTCCCTCGGGGGGGGGGGGGGGGAGGGGCGGTGACACGAATCGGCTTGGTCTCGGCTCTGCCTGCTATCTGGCGCTCCTCCTTCAGGGGGTGGCGGTGACACGACTCGGCTTGGTCTCGGCTCTGCCTGCTATCTGGCGCTCCTCCCTCGGGGGGTGGCGGTGACACGGCTCGGTCTGGGTCTCGGCTCTGCCTGCTATCTGGCGCTCCTCCTTCAGGGGGTGGCGGTGACACGGCTCGATCTGGGTCTCGGCGTTTCGCCCATTTGGTGGCGACGGTCGGCGAGGCGGACAACCGCCCCCCCTCCCCCCCTCCTCCGCCGAGCTCTCTGATGCGCGGCCGAGGTCGGCGAGGCGGACAGCCGGCACGCCTCCCCCCCCCCCCGCTCTGCCGAACTGCCGAACCGGTGCGGTCCCCCCCCCCCCCCTCTGCCGTGCCCTCTGGTGCGCGCCAGGGGTCGGCGAGGCGGGTAACCGGCACGCCCCCCCCCCCTCCCCTCTGTCGCACTCTGGTGCGCGCCAGGGGTCGCATCACCGTCCGCCTCGCTCTGGCTGTCAGTCACTACGGATGTGTCGCTGTTCTGTCAGCAAAGATTCGTGAGATTCGTGTTCTGGTACGATGTGGGGACGACTTTCCCCGAGATGTGTATGCTGACTTCAGGCTAGGGAGGTGAATGGGACAAAACACTGAGAAAGGAGCACGACAAAGATTAGGATCGACTGCTGACTTTGTCTGCCTATTTGTTTAGAACATTGTAATGCACCGACCGTAAGCTCTGTTACGGAACGGCCCACTGCAAAAACAATGACCACGGTAATGCTATAAGAACACTAATCCGGAGGAAGCTCTTCTGCCTGCTGGAGCCTGAAGGTATCAGGCCTGAATGCCCACAATGGCTGAAAATGAAAAAGACCACCAATCGTGCCTGCCAAAGGAATTGATTGCAGGTCTTCCTCAAACTCCCTGCCCGGGAATGTCCGGCGTGCCGTGGGAGCCCGGCAGAAGTTGCCGTGATACTACATGTGATAGGCGCATGTACAATATGAACATAAGCCGCACGTGGGCGGTCCATAGATAACGTAACGCTTTTTTGGTCATTTATCAACCCTCCGTCACCCTGGTTACGCACTACACTAGGTGAAGCTCCCTTCTCCCTTGTTACGCTGTATCAAGCGTAATGTCCCCAGAAAGTGGCGTCCTTTTGACCCCTGATTGAGCTAAAGATGAGAGATAAATAACGGACGCGTTCCTTGTACTGAGAGGAAACCAAGAGCATAAGGCTTCACGGTTTTAGTTGTTTTTTTTTGGGGGGGAGGGGAATTCGAGCATTATTTACAACCACACCTGAGCCTTCCCTTGCGCTCCAAACGCCTCCCTCCATGTGTAGCGTAATCCATGGACGGCCCCACACATGTGATGCCATACTGAGTGAAGCGTGGCTTCATCAGTGTCGGTTCGAAATGAGCAATAATCATGGTGTTATAAGCATAATCTTATTGTGCTGTCCCACCGCGAGGCAATCTAGCTCACTGGCACACACACACACACACACACACGCACGCACGCACGCACGCACGCACGCACGCACGCACGCACGCACGCACGCACGCACGCACGCACGCCAACTTCGGCTCCAGCCCCCTCCCTCAGTTTTTTGGAAGAAAAAAATCAGCAAAATCCGGGATTTGGTCATTTGCCGTGGATTCGCCTGTCATCTCCCACGTGTTGAATGACCCCCCGACCCCACCCACGCACACACAACTCATTTTGCGTCAGTGCAGCTGTGCGTGACTGGCAAGATCGGCCGCATCGCTGAAGCTGCACAATACTCAGGGGGAGGTGAGGGGTCGACCAGGAGCTGGAGCACCAGGAGCTCGTTCAGCCTGTGACCTCGCTCGCAATAATTCTGCCGTGTCCAGCAACGCGTCTGACGTGAGCACTGACAGCATATACACAGCCGGCATTCACCGTCTGATTTACTACACTGTACACTGTCTGATTTAATTGGGCAGTTCATCTGTTACGTTTGGCTTGGACGTTGCCGTGTCCGTGTGATGCACGACGGCGAATCTGCTGTTCAGCAGAACGGCAATATCAGCGATTCGCTGTCAGGTGTATAAACGGAAGCTTAAACTGATATGTACCGGTTTAACCGGTATGTAACCGGTATATACAGGTTTGGCCGGTATAGGGTATATACCGAGATAGCTGTTAACCGGTATACGCCGGTTTAACCGGTAACTGGCGTGCCGATTACCGGTTTAACTGACTTCGCTACCACGGCAGTGACAGCTCTCGCGTATCAACGAATTTGTCCTCTCCAGCCCCTTTCTTAACCCCACCACGCGATGTCATATTTAAGCTTTACTGAGCGTTCTGGTTGCGGGTGCATTCTTACTGGTTCGCTACGGCTGTTATTCGATTCATAAACGCTGTATCAAGAACTTGAATTGTGACCAAATCATCGAGCCCCAAATCTGTCAGCTTTGTGTGGCATTTGGTGTGTTCTATCCGTTTTCACCCTGTAGAACGCCATGCTGCGTCCGTACCGTGCATGGCATCTCTTCGTTTACGTGAAAACTGGTGTAAACAACGATGCACCCTGGTGGCGTCCTCGTGCATGAAATCCTCAGCGTGCCCCGTAATATACCCGGCGTGACGGGCAGGCACACGATTTTCCCTTTCTTTCCGTGGGCGGCAGTAAGTATGCCACTTTTTTGTTCTCGGCACCGAGCGCTGGGATGGTCCGGCCCCTAAGTCTGACCTATCTGATGTGCTGGACACCGGTGACCCCGATGCTCCCGGGCTGTGCCGGTTTCGCGGACGCCATTGTTGCTCGCGGGTATCAACCACCCGCTGTCAGGCCTTGTGCGACCCATGGAGACGATGCTAATCTCGATGTGGAGTGTATGGAGGGCAAAACGGGTCGGTGTCGGTCCTTTCTCTTTCTCATCTTCAGCCCGGGGGGGGGGGGGGCATCAGTGGCCACGCCCTCGCCACCAAAACGTAGGACGGCTGGAGGCAACAGCTGGAGGCGTAGGACGGCAACACGTAGGTTTAGGAGCTGAAACAAAGAACTCCCCGGATGCTCACCCGGGGAGTGAAGTAGCAGTATTAAAACGATGTGATTGATATGACGTGTTGCACTCAATGAACCAATAGTCATTGTATTTACCGTGCGGATATTTCACGCGTACCCAACACACATTTTCGTAATGTTAGCAGTGTCCGTGACATCTTAATCGTGCTGAGGATTTTTTTGCAGAATCGAAAGTTTGCTGCACTGTAGCAACCCCGAACGCGCCCATCGGTCAACTCCGCCTCAACCCAGCCTCGCTCGGGCCCCTCGTCCCTTTGCCCCCTGTGCGCGTGCAGCGTGCAGTGCGAGGCGCGGCACCGGCCTGCGCTGGTCACGTCGGCGGCGGCTGTGAAGAAACCATGACGTCTCGTCCGTTCCGGCCGCCGAGCGGCTGACCCAGTCAAGTCCGCCGGATGCTCGCCGGTTCCGAGCGGCGCCAGCGCGTAATTGGCGCGCCGGGGCTCGTTACGAAGCGGCGCCGGGCCGCCGTCGCGGCGCGCGACCGCCAGAAGAAAGCTCTGCGGCGAGCCGTGGCTCAGCGGCGGCGGCTCACGAGAGCACTGTCGCGCTCGGGCGCGCCGGCGCGCGGCGCCGCGGCACGTCAGGACGCAGCAGCTCCGCCAAACCGGACGCGCGGCGCGAGGAAGGCTGCGTCCGTCCGGCGCTATTGACACGCGGCGCGCTGAAGGCTGTGTCCGTCCGGCGCTATTGGCACGCGGCGCGCTGAAGGCTGTGTCCGTCCGGCGCTGTTGACACGCGGCGCGCTGAAGGCTGTGTCCGTCCGGCGCTGTTGAAACTTCTCAACATTGTCGACTTTTGCTGTCTTGTTCGTCACGTGGGTATGGCTGAGGTCGGAATGATGTTGACGATGGTCACTCCCTTGCAGGATGACTGATGAATGACGACTGATAATTATGTTGATGGTGATGGTATGGGGGCTTGAAATGCTATGACGCGCGCGCCGTTGGCCCGTTAAATACGACGACGCTCGGAAAGGGTGGTCAATTTGGCTTCCTGAGATATCAAACACTAATAGAGTTATAGACGTCAAGTTCACAGGATAGATAGGCCTGTTTGTGAACTCACTTGTGCCAAATTTTTAGGTCCTGAGGTTCGGACCCCTTTGGGTCAAATACGGTTCAACGAAATCAAACTCTAGACAGGTGTCCGAAAGTGCCCCAGACCTCCTGATGTGGCTACTTTCAACCAAGCTACCTGTGCTTAGCAAAAGGGTCGCTGATGTTCGGTTCAGGTCAGTGACCTTATTGGCCTTTTAATGGTCACGGTGGCCAAAAGCGTGCGAGCTTGTTTTGGTGTCTGAATTTCGATAAAAGGCATAGATTACACGAGGCGGTATGTTCCTAAATACGAAAGGTTAATCGGTGTCGTTCTGGCTCAGTAACCTCTTTTGACCTTAATGAATTCAAATTACACATTTTTTTCGTACGATTAAGAAATTCGAAATGAGTGTAAAATGCCATCCCATCAAGCAAGTTTTTCAGCAAAAGCAATTTTGTTTTAACCTCGGCATGACCTTCATACCTGACCCAAGGTCAATTAAATCAGTCATAATGCTAGATTAAATTGTTTTATTGTCAAAGAAACCGTCTCAGAGATGCGTGACCTCGTCTAACCGTTGCTGCGTCATATTGAGCGATTTCCTAGGATTGCCCTCGCTGGCAGCCATGGTCTGACTTTGGCCTGTCATCGGTCAAGGTCCTTTCAAAGTACACCCAATTTTTACACACAAAAATCGGATGTTCAATTCGCCACATCAATGCAAAGTTAGCAAAGTAAGGCGCGAGTTTGCCGCGCTTGAGGCAGGTGTGGAAAAGCATTTGAGGGTTGAAATTCCCCCACTCCAACCTGAGCGCGTGTGAAGAAAAATGCTATTATTGATGCCTGTTGAAACCATCCCTGTGTGATATCCTGCCAATGTTTGATTATTTAGCACTATTTGCCACTAAGTTTCCGTTGCCCAGAACGATTAATCAGCTGGCAACGAAAAACAAGATTGTAAAATATTTCCCAATCAGACTGCGACAAATTGTCTTAGCTCCTTTCGTGATCCCACCACCTAAGGTTTTGGGGGGCTCGTAGACGAAATGCTCCACAGCTTCGCAGGTGACCGGGTGGTTACACCTGACCCCGATACGCCTGTGCGTTGCCAACTCCAAGCCTCGGGTGCAAAGCGGGGTGTAAGGAGTGAAAGCGGATCAGTTTTACCACCGCTTAGTCATATGCGTCCCAGCTTTAGCACGGCCGACATTCTCTCTCGAGATCTCCTTCCGGGTCGATCCGTTCTGGAGCGACAGCCGCTCTGCTCCGGCCGTCGTCGCCGTCGTCGTCGTCATTATCATCATCATCCCCAACCACACGCCGTGCCAATTTGTCGACCTTGTCGCCCTGCCGTCTGTCCGGACCCCGGCCACGATCACCGGGCACTGCCACTCGGTGCCCTGTCCTGCTCTCACCCCCACCCCAGCCAGCAGGCGCTGACCGGCGGCCGGCACCGAGGCTCGCCCCGGCAGCCGCGCGGCTGACGCTCCGCCGTCCGGCAGGGCGCACGGCCATGGGCTCGGAGCACAGCACGGCCGGCGCCGGCCGAGCGGAGCGGGAGCGGGAGCGGGCGCGCCCGGCGGGCACGCCCGTCTCGCCGCAGAACAGCGTCTGCTCCGACGCCGAGGTGCCGTACGTCTCGTACACGCAGAACCTGCCCATCGGCGACGGTGAGACGCCGCGCGTGCCCGGCTGGCGGGGCGCGGAGTGGAGGGGTCGCGCAGGCCCGGTGATGGCAGAGCACGAGGCCAGAACGATCTCCGTGGTCAGCCCGTAACAGTGGAACGTTGCGGCGCATCCAAGGCTGTGTAAGCGATGCCATCGCTATCTGTCAACTTGTTTAATTCGTCGCCACGTGGTGCGTGATCTCGTGAACCATGACCCCGATCGCTGTAATCTGTAACTGGCATGATTCGTGACCTCCTGCAACATGGCGCGAAATGCCCAGAGCTTTGTGATGCGTCAGAAGGTGACCCACGGCCAATAAGCTGTGATCTAACCGGCAGCTGACTCGCCGCGGCCGGGCGGCCGCCGGCTGCGCCCCGGTCGGCCGGGCCGCTCCAAACAGGCCCCGCTGCTGCCCAAGGAGATCGTAGTGGTGAAGGCGGCCGAGGCGGCGTCCGCCGCCGGCTCCGACGAGGACCCCGACCTGCGCCGCCTCAGGGTACGGCCCCGGGCGGTGGCGGCGGCGGCGGCACCGTGTGTGGGATGCTGCTGTCGTCTGTGTCGGGTTGTGCAATGCAATCGGGGAGGGAGGCGGGGTCCTGGCCAAGGCTGAATATAACCTGCGTCAGAGACGGGGGCCTGGCTCCTTGGCACGGTCGGGAGAAAAACGCGGCCGCTTCGTGACGGGTTATTATCGGTCAGCGATTGTCTCGCGCCGTGCCATCTGAGACTCCTCCATTCCGCGGTCGGTCAGCGCACACCGCGCGCGGCCGTCCGTGCCGCGGCGCCGCGCTCAGCCGCGCCGGCCTGCCGCAGCTGATCCCGCACTTCCTGCCGGTGATGAGGGGCGCCCTGACACTGCCGGGCTCGCGCGACCCGGACGTGCTGGACCGGCTCGACTCGGCCGCCGTCCGCCAGATGGCCGGCCGACTGCAGCGCCACCTGGCCACCAGCGCCGAGCGCACCGCCGCCCGCCAGGCCGAGGTCACCGCCAAGGTCGCCCAGGTGTGCGCAGGGGGATCAGGAGGCACAAGTAGCCTTGTCAGTAGGAAGCAAGAAGTATCGCGTGTTTTGGTTAACGAGGGTCATGCAGGCAGGAACCAGCTTTAGGTTACCTGCCCGGAAACGTTGGATATGGTGTGGGCTTCAGTCAGTATTATATGTTAACAGCTTTTCATATATCACCATCAAAGCTGGGTGTTTCAAACGCGAACTTCGCCAGCCTATCTGGACCGAAACAGCTCAGGACATTGTTCAATTTACAGTTTTATTCGCGTGCATCCGTCCAACCGCGTTAGGATCATCTTTAGTTTACCTCAGAACTTAAAAATGGACAATACCTTGTTTCTAAATTGCCATTTTTGACAAGCAGCATTGGAAGCTGAGAACCGGTGTGCTGACTCCATACCCACCTTGGAGCCTGTTAGCAACATTGGGGTTTTCATACCAGCACTGAGAGTGACTCGCTCCACAAGGAGCAGCAGGACACACAGAGTGGCGGCGGTCCCGGCGCCGCGCCTTCGCTCCGTGCGCCCGGCCACCCCGCTCCTGCTGACCCGCCGCACCGCTGGCAGCTGGACCAGCAATCGGTGGCGCTGCTGTCGACGGTGACAGAGCGCCAGCGGGCGTTCGCGCGCCACGCCGAGCGGCTGCAGAAGGTGGGCGAGGTGTCGCACGCCGTGCAGCGCTGCCACCTGCTGCTCGACGACACCGTGCGACAGCTGCGCGAGCTCAACCAGCAGCTGCCCGAGGAGCAGCGGCTGCAGCCGCTCGCCCTGGCCTCCGACTGATCGGCGACGCGCCGCCAGCCGGCTCGGAGAAGTGTCAGCGGTTTCGGAGAACTGAGGGCTATCGCGGTGAAACACATGCCGTCTCGGAGAACGCCCGGCTGTCTCGCAGCTGCCTGTGAGAAGGCCTCAGTCGGCCTGCCGGCTCCGGCCGACGGTCCGGCGAGCGGCGCGCTCAGCGGCTCGCGCCGGCCGACGACCGACAGCCCCGCGCTGACGGCCGAGCCAGCGACGGCGCGAGAGCGTCCTGCCCGCCATCCGTCGAGGGCCCGTCGGGGCGCACGGGGGTCTGACCGGACTCCGCCTTGGGACCCGTGGCGCGCGGCACGGGTCGGTGCCGCCGCAGGCTGGCGTCCAGGTGTGCGGCGGCGTCGCCTCGTCACGGACCGGGTCAGGGGTCGCTAGTGTGCCACGTCATTAGCTGGAGTGGCGGACTTGTGTCACACCGCAATACGGAACGATGCGTCGAATGTTTACGATGTTCACTGTACTGAAATGTTTATTATATTGCTGTGGAAAGGAAACCGTGCCGCGTGGTTGATTGCGAAGTGCGTTGTTCATGCGTTATGCCTGTGGCACGATTACTGGTGGGAATACCTAAACCGATTTACTTTATGGAGTTGTCCGTGTTTGACGCAGTGCCGGCATGCATGTCATTCCACGTCCGACGCTTGTCTCAAGGTGAGCTGAATGAGACAAAGTCTGAGTGTCACAAATAGCGCTAACTGAAGTGCAGTCTTTCACTCTGGCGTCGTACTGCCTGGTTCAATCGAAACGCTCCGCTGTTTATGGACGACCGTGGCATATTGCCGCCCGGTTACCACAGAGTTTTTATCCCAATGTTTGTGTGTTTTGTTCTGCGTGTCCAGGCTACTCCTGGTCCGTCACATGTCGCTATCTGTATGTCATGGGGATATCCATTGAATAAACCAATTCGCCGCCATTGTCGTTTGTCATGCGCCTGAATTTGGGGCGATAACCGGTGAGCGATGGTTAACGAGGGTTATTTACATCTCGCCCGCGACCGCGCCCGGCCCTGCAGCTATTGGGTTGTTTGGAAACAGGTCCGAGCCGCAGGCGTTCCATAGAAAGGCGATTCATCTCTGTATGGTCTGAGTCGTCTTAACAACCATGTCGCAAAACTTTGGGGTAAGCTCTTTGTTAACACTTTCATCTGCTGGGAGCTCAGCATTTTTTTCCGAAACATTTGTCATGCACTATAAATGAAACGTCCTGCAGCCCTTGCGGGTGGCCAGTCTTGCCCTTTTTCGTCCAAGCAAGCTGTGCTGCAGTGCTTATACGAGGTTTACAAACCAGCGAACGCATAGTCCGCTACACGCTGAGCGCAGCACATAGGCGTGCTACTTATTGCAGACGTTCCGAATTGTGTGCGTGTGGGGTGTGGGGGGATGCAGTTACTTACAATCAGCTGGGGTCTCAGCAGTGAAAAACGACGCAACCTGCCCTCAAAAGGCGATAACAAACGGGTGTCTGTCCGAATTTTGCTCACTTTCTTCTCAAAGTTAAAGGGTCAAAGCAGCCCCAGTTGGGGGGGGGGGGGGAGGGCGGGGCTGAAAAGGAAACAACACTCCTGATTATGTGGCTGCATCGCAAATGTTATTCAGCTAATGCACTCCCTTGGGGGGCATATTAGGCGAAACCCTGGCGTCTTGCCCATTGACAGGCGCCCCCTCCGTCACCTGCTCGTGTGCGGTTCATAATTCATGGTCTCGTGCACTGCGCCGCGCTGTTGCACCTGTCCGAACAGGAATTTGGCCTACGCGTTCTGCCGTCACCTGCTGGCCAGCTCAGTCAATAACGCACGAATGGCTGGAAACGGTGGCTGGGCCGGGGTCTGCTGACACCAACGTTCCGAAACGCCGCCGGTTTTTTTCGCCTCGGGAGCTGTGAGCTAGATTGAGAGGTTCCGTGCTTTTTTATTTCCTCCCCTTCACACCAGTGGGAGATATGTTTCTCCACCACTGCGCCCCTTTCATAGTCAGTCGTCCGAACGAAGTCTTTTTTCGTTTCTGTTTGATCTCCCCTAACCTTGCACCTGGCTCATCCGGGTAAAAGGCTAGCTTTTTGTCCGAATATAATGCCCGACCGGGCTCACTACGGTGTTCCATTGCCGCGAGCTTCTCTCTTACCAGTAAAGGAGTGCAGGCTCGCGTCCACCCGTCATCGTCCTGTTCGCGGTGCCCCATGCCAGACACCAGCGCGTGCATGCCATGCGCTCGGTTAATTTGGTAGGCGATCCCCGCAAACCATTAACTTGATGACTCTCGTACATCATCGCAGAGCTCTGTGAGTGCTTATGCTGCTGTCTGTTTTCGTCGCCTGGGTCTGGCACTGCGCGTAATTATTGGCATGGCCGCCCACCTCGTCCCCGGACGGATTCGGCCGTTCGCCGTGCCTCGCCGTCAACGCTGAAGCTTGAGGCCGTGCTGCATTATTCTGTGAACGTGTCCTCTGTCAATGCCTGCCGTGAATAGTGGCTTGGCGTGGCGTTCGGCCATTCACTGCAGGTACGTCGAGGTCAGCTGCAGCGGTCCTGGCTACGGGGGAGGTACTGGGCATGAGGCCCTCAGGTATCAAGCCGTCTTCGCCTGGACTCTGGCTCTGAACGACGCTCAGGAAGAGTTGGCTGCTGAGAAACACATGGCAAATCACACGATGACAAAAATGCTAGCCGAAATGTTTCCCGAAAAGTAGCCCGTGTCTAAAACATTGCAGCGTTACGTGCAGCTGCGACACCCCGCAGTTTGGCTTTAGCAAGCACTGACGCTTGCGTCTAAGCCTATTTGGTCCGTCCGCGAGGCCGCCTGTAGGTTGGATCACATCACAGATGGTCGGCTGCCTGTGTGTGTCCGTGGGCCGCGCGGGCTGTCTGTGTGTGTCCGTGGGCCGCGCGGGCTGTCTGTGTGTGTCCGTGGGCCGCGCGGGCTGTCTGTGTGTGTCCGTGGGCCGCGCGGGCTGTCTGTGTGTGTCCGTGGGCCGCGCGGGCTGTCTGTGTGTGTCCGTGGGCCGCGCGAGCTGTCTGTGTGTGTCCGTGGGCCGCGCGGGCTGTCTGTGTGTCCGTGGGCCGCGCGGGCTGTCTGTGTGTGTCCGTGGGCCGCGCGGGCTGTCTGTGTGTGTCCGTGGGCCGCGCGGGCTGTCTGTGTGTGTCCGTGGGCCGCGCGGGCTGTCTGTGTGTCCGTGGGCCGCGCGGGCTGCCTGTGTGGGTCCGTGGGCCGCGCGGGCTGTCTGTGTGTCCGTGGGCCGCGCGGGCTGTCTGTGTGTGTCCGTGGGCCGCGCGGGCTGTCTGTGTGTCCGTGGGCCGCGCGGGCTGTCTGCGTGGGTCCGTGGGCCGCGCGGGCTGCCTGTATGTCCGTGGGCCGCGCGAGCTGTCTGCGTGTCCGTGGGGTGCGCGGGTTGTCTGCGTGTCTGTCCGGCGGCGACCGTGCCGGGCGGAGGCGGGGCGGGTAGCGGGAGCGCCGCGTGCGCGCTGTCCGTTGGCGCGAGTCACCATGCCACCGCGATAACACCCGCCCGGGGCCGACCCACCGACATCGATTGTTGACGCCGCTCCGTACCACAACGCGGTGATACTCGGCCTTCGTCGCATTGCCACCGCGGCCTCCGTCGTGAACCTGGTCACCGGCCGACTTCGCGACGAGACCCGCTCACTGAAGTCTGTCGAAAGACAGACCTCAGAGTCAGAAGTCGAAAATCGAAAGTCCGTCGACAGACAGAAAGGGTCTCGGCCGAGGCTCTCTGTCGGAAGACTCGTGCACCTCAGTGACTCTGTGAGGAGACCGCCCGCCCACAAACCTTTGCGGACACAGAAGACCGACTCATCCGAGTGCCTTGTCAGGATATCACCCAACGGTTTTCTTCAGAAAACCTGCTCGTCCTAGGCGTCTTCGTCAGGAGACCTGCTCAGCACGCTCCGTGAGCAGAGCTGATCTATCGCGAATCCGAATGCCTGGTAGCCAGGGGAGGTCGAAAGAGAAAGCAACGAAGCTTTGCGGCACTGTCTGTTAATCCCACAGGCTGGTCCGAAGGTCTGGAGTTTGAGTAACTTTTGATACTCCGAGACCTCGAGTAGCCGGTAGGTGGCCGTTGCAACCAGGGGGACACGTGGTGGCGGCGTTCGCTGCTCAGTAAAACTCCGTCGAAAATCCTGGTGACATTCTGACCACTCAGTTGCGGTGAGACTACTGGGCGGCTGTTGGACCGAGCGCAGCCACGCATTAGCCGTTGTCGGCTGCTGACAGCTCCAGTGGACCATCGCAAGGCCGGAACAACCAGTGCGGGCAGCGAGCTATCCGAAGACGTCATGCCTAAGGGTAACGACGGAGGACGTAAGGCGAAGCGGGCCGGCACCAGGCCGACGATCATAGCCCCGCGGGGAACCATCCGACCGCACAAGGGCTTCGACGAAGAGGCGGCGCTCGCGCAGGCGAAAATCCTGCGCACGGCGCTGCAGAAGCCCACCAACACCAACGCCATCATCGGCGTGCTGACGAAGCACACGCTGGAGGAGCGCAAGTACGTGGAGGACGTGTACAACGCGCAGCACAGCCCGCCGCTGCAGGAGGCGCTGCGGCACGAGTTCTGCGGCCATCTGCGCGAGACGCTGCTAGCTCTGCTGCAGTGGCCGAACCAGTACCTGGCCGGCTGGACGCAACGCGCGATGCGCGGGGCCTCCACCGACCAGAAGACGCTGTTCGAGGTGCTGTGCGGCCGTGAGCCGGCCGACCTTCAGGACGTGATACGTGCTTACCGCCGCCTGCACGGCCACTCGCTGGAGGCTGACCTACGCGCCGCGCTCTCCGGCGACACGCACGAGCTGGCGCTGGCGCTCGTGCGGCGGCAGGGCGACGCCGCCGCGCCCGCCGGCGAGGACGGCGCGCGCGCGCTAGCCGGGCGGCTGGTGCAGGCGGCGGTCGCGCGCGACGCCGCCGTCTTCACCGAGGCGCTGAGCGGCGCCAGCCCAGCGCTGTTGCGCCGCGCGAGCG